ACCCCAACTATTTATCAGAAGTCTAGCCTCTTTTGGAATTGGACATTGTTACTCAATCCATGCACAAATACACTTATTTTACATAGTTATTTGTCTTGTTTTTTCTGTTTGCTGTGTCTAGTACAGTGGTACCTCGGGTTAAGAACTTAATTTGTTCTGGAGGTTCATTCTTAACCTGAAACTATTCTTAACCTGAGGTACCACTTTAGTTAACAGGGCCTCCCGCTGCTGCCGCCGCGCACGATTTCTGTTGTCATCCTGAAGCAAAGTTCTTAACCCAAGGTACTATTTCTGGGTTAGCGGAGTCTGTAACTTGAAACGTCTATAATCTGAAGTGTCTGTAACCCGAGATACCACTGTATTTGGTTACAGTTATTTTTCTTTTCTTTTTTATACATTCAAAATGAAAATAAAAAACTTTATGAAAAAGAGGAGGAAGAAGGGCCTAGCAGTGCTGCCAGCAAGTTCAAGCAGGTGTGGGACTGGAGTAATCTGCAAGGGATTAGGAAATACTGCTATTCTGGCTCTAAACTGTGGTCATTTAGTTTACCAGTTATGATGAATATGTGACAGTTTTGCAAAAACAAAAAAAAATTGTTTACAAACCACCAGCTCCTTGAAAGCTCTGACCACAGAAAGTCATATAGAAATGTGGCAGCCATATCCCTCCAAATGACTTTTAGGTGAAGCTGCTTATGATGCTGCTGTAAGAGCAAGAAGGGGGGGGGGGTAAAGAGAGAACTACAGCTGGGTTTCTCCCCCTGCATGCTTAAAAGAATGCAACACAAAAAAATGGACAGGATTCGGAAAGCATGGGATAATTTTCTGCATGTGTGTAAGACAAAGGTTTAGGAGATGGAGAGGAAACATTAGGTGTGTATTAGTCCTGAAGGAATCCCTACAGGAAGCATACAAGAAGAAAACACCCAAAGAGAAGGAAATGGAAAGAAGATTTTGAACAAATGATTTTTGGGTGGGTGAATTAAGATTATTACTTTTTTGCTTTAGCTTTTTAAAAGAATTAAACTAGTTGATTTGGAGTAAGTAGTGGCAGAGCTCACTGGAAACAACAGGTTGAACCAGTTGAGTAAGGTTCCCACACACACCCATTTCACCATCATCAACCCCCCTCCAAAATAATATTTCGTTTTTAAAAAACGTCTAAACCACTCTTCTCCTGACGTATTCCAGGATGGTTTACAATAATACAGTTGCCCCATCTGCACATACAGTGGTACCCCGCAAGACGAACACCTCGCAAGACGGAAAAACCCGCTAGACGAAAGGGTTTTCCGTTTTGGAGGCGCTTCGCAAAACGAATTTCCCTATGGGCTTGCTTCGCAAGACGAAAGCCCATAGGGAAATCTCCGGGGACCTCTTTTAAATGCTAGCGGTGGGGAGCAAAGCCTTTCCCCCCCCTCCGGCCTTCAGAAGAGGTCCAGGAAGGCTGGCGGGGGCCGAAAGGCTTTGCTCCCCACCGCCAGCATTTTAAAAGCAGTCCGGGATAGCAGGGAAGCGCTTCCCGCTATCACGGACGGCTTTTGAAGGCAGGAGAGGTCCGCGAAGCCTGGGCGCGCGGATCTCAGCGCGCGCAGGCTTCGGCATGCCGGCAACTCACCGCAAGCAGCGGCAGCGCTGCCGCTGCTTGCGGAGAGGTCCGCGAAGCCTGGGCGCGCGGATCTCAGCGCACGCAGGCTTCGGCATGCCGGCAACACTCAGCAAGCAGCGGCAGCGCTGCCGCTGCTTGCGGAGAGGTCCGCGAAGCTTTGGGCGCGCTGAGATCCGCGCGCCCAGGCTTCGCGGACCTCTCCTGCCTTCAAAAGCCGTCCGTGATAGCGATTTAAAAGCCCCTGGGAAGGCAGGCAGGGAGGACAAAGACTTTCGCCCCCGCCAGCCTTCAGAAGAGGTCCTGGACCTCTTCTGAAGGAGGGCGGGGGGCAAATGTCTTTGTCCTCCCTGCCTGCCTTCCCAGGGGCTTTTAAATCGCCCCGGACAGCGGAGAAGTCCTCCGCTGTCCGGGGCGATTTTAAAATGCCGCCCGCCAGCATTTTAAGATCGCCCCGGACAGCGGAGAAGCCCTCCGCTGTCCCAGGGTTTTTTAAAATGCTGGGGGTGGGAAGAAAAGCCCTTGTCCCCCCCCCAGCCTTCAGAAGAGGTCGGGGGACAGACTGTCCCCGGACCTGGTCTGAAGTCGGTTTCCCTAGGAACGCATTAATTGATTTTCAATGCATTCCTATGGGAAACCGTGCATCGCAAGACGAAAAACTCGCAAGAAGAAAAAACTTGCGGAACGAATTAATTTCGTCTTGCGAGGCACCACTGTAATGCCAAGTCAAACCATGGGTAAACATGAAAAAGCAAGTGTGTAGGTACACTGAGCAAAAACGGGCTGCTTCACTCCTATCCAGGTCCTGCTGCCGCCACTGCCACACTACCTAAGGCTAAACCACCATTCACCTTAGCTTTAAGCACAAATCAGGTCAGTATAATACAATATAACTACATTCAGTGATAAAATGAAGAGGCAGCAAATTATAAAACTATAAACTATAAAGCAGACATAACCATTGAAAAATGCTTCAGCAAATAAAGAGTTTATTGACCTGCCACTGAAAAGACTGCAGTGTTGTTATCAAGCTGGAATGACCTCAGGGAGGACATTCAAAGTAAGGGGTGCCACCACAGAAAAGCCCCTCTCCTTTAACATCAGAACATAAAAGGAGCCCTTCTGGATGAGACCAGTGGCCCATCTAGTCCAGCATTATGTTATTACAGTGGCCAACCAAATGCTTCTAGAAAGCCCACAAGCAGCACATTGAGAACAATAGCTTTCTCTGGCTCATGTTCCCCAGCAGCAGGTTTTTCAAGGCATGCTGCCTCTTATACCAGGGTAGATAGTCATCACAGGGAGTAATCACTGATGGCCTTATCCTCCATGAATTTGTCTAATCCCCTTTTCAAAGCTGTCCATGTTGGTAGTTATCACTACACCCTTTCAAAGCTAATTCCTTAATTTAACTATGTGCTATGTGAAGAAACACTTATTTTTGTCTTAATTTTATTTTTGAAATGTACAAACTGTCCTTCACCCCAAAAAATGGATTTTAGGATGGTACACAAAGAAACATAAAAGTTACTGACACACTACTACACAAACCAACAACACTAAGTCACATAAAACCATTCAGTTACCACAGAGAAGAACCCTCTCCTTTGCACATGTACCTGAAGTACTTCTCCTAAAGATAGAACAGGTAACATTCGTTTATCAGCAACACACTCTTCAGAAATTTTGGAGAACACAATTTAGGAAGAGAAGAGAAGCAGGCTGTGAAGGTGTAAGATTGGTACATCCTGTGTTGTCCAGAGTCATTGTTAACAGGTGGCCCAGGGAGCCCAAACCCCCAGATCACTTACCTTCCCCCTCCACCCCAGTATTAAACTTAACATTTTAAAATTTTCTTTGCTTACAAAGTGGTTGAGCACGCTTCAATGCTCACTCACGACAAGGCCACAGCCATCTGCCATTGCTTTCTATTTGTGGCAAACATTGTGTTGATCTGTGGTCACTGGACTGGGTATAGATGGCATTGACTGGTGGCAGGGACTTATAAGTACGTATATGAAAAAGGTAGATGAAGATGGGAAGGAGAAGTGGTGCTAGAGATGAATGTGCTCATGTGTGAAAGTCACGTTGTTGTAAAAGGTTTGTTTTAATTTAAATGTGTATATAACCAGAGGGCCCAATCCACCCAGAGCAGCCCCTAAAACCCTGCTGGCATCCTATAGGAATGGAAAAGAAATTGATCCACATTTTTAAATCAACCAATCTAATTTGCTGGTCCCACAGTTATATATAGATCAGCCTTTGTATGAATTTGGCAATGCAGTTTAGACTTTTTTTATTAAAAAAGGCACAAGAAGTATATTTTACAGAAAAAGGCATATTAGGGGAAATGAAAGCATGCAAAAATGTCTCTTAGGGGATGAATGTATACAATCTAAATGTGAATTTTTCATTTTTTGTTTTAATCTGCAAAAAAAAGAAGAAAAAAGAGATGAGATGGACTTACAGAAGCTGAGCCATCCATCCCTACCATTCCAGAGCTCAGAGTAAGAGCCCTGGCAGCAAGAACTGAAAAACCTCAAGGGCAGATCCACAGTATACATTTAAGGCATGTTCAGTGCACATTTAAAGCACATTACTGTACTCTCCCACCCCCAAATCCTAGGAACTGCAGTTTGTTATGGATGCTGAAAATGGTATCTGAGGGGCAGAAACCACAGTTAATAGGATTCTATGGAGGAAGTACGGTATGTGTGCTGAATATGCTCTCAATGTATACCATGGATTTGACCTGAGAAGAGGCTTGCTGCTGGATCAGACCCACCTAGCTCAGCATCCTGTCCACGCAACAGACAACCGGACGCCCACCACCTCTGAAACTAACCCCTAAATTTATGTCTTGCACACAAATTACCATACGATTATTTTGTTTCACGGGCCTGTGTGAGCCCCACCACACCTTTTAAAAGTACGGTACTTAGCGATGCTTCTAGCGCTGTATGTATGTATATATGTGAGGGGAGAGAGAGCCAGCGAGCAAGAGTGACTCCATGACGGTGGGTGGTGCTGCTTAGAGGAAATGAGGGTTTTTTTGGGGGGGGGGATGGTTGGATAAATGGGGTGGGTGGGAGAGATGAGGCGGAGGGCGCGCGAGCAAGCAGTGGGGGAGGGGGGAGATGGAACGCTGAAGGGGAGTGACGTTTACGAAAGTCGGGGAGAGAGGCGCGGGCGCGCGAGCAACGGCCGGCTGGACGGACATTCGAACGAGCAACCAGGCGCGCGCAAACAGGCTGACGGACGAGCGCGCGTGCGCGAGCAGCCAAACGGACTGAGGGGGAGAGAGAGAAAAAGCAAGCTAGCTAGCTAGCTAGCTAGCAGTCGCCTACTCACCGCGCGGCGCCTTTTGTTGCCAGGCGAGGCGTAAAGCGCTTACCTGAAGTGGCGGCGGCGGCAGCAGCAGCAGTTATCAGCAGCACTAGTAATAATAGTAATGATGTTGTTGTTGTTACTGGGTCTGGGAGGAGCCCTCGAGTGGCCCTCCCGCGTAGACAAGGAGGGAAGCAGAGGCAGGATCGTGCCCTCGTCCTCTCAGCACTTGGAGCGGCTGAGCCTCCTTCTGCGCCTGAGGGGAGAGAAACGCCGAACGGTGTGTGTGTGTATATAAGCGGCCGCTGCTGCTTCTGCTCTTCTTCTTCCTCCTCCTCCTCCCTCCGTCGTCGTGACTCACAGCGGCGGCGACCGAGGGAGGGAGCGGAGGAGGCGCCTGGGCGACTCCGGGTGGGAGGGACCCGCCGCCGCCGTCGCCGCTGCTTGCCGCGTCCCAGCGCCCGAGGCCGCTGAGAGGCGGCAAGCCGCGTCGCCTCAGGCAGCCGCCTCCAACGGCAACCTGAGGTAAAAGGGGGCGTGGCCAACGCGGAGCTTGCGGCTGGGGAAGGAGAAGGCGGCTATTGTTTCGGGGAGGGGCGTGGCCCGGTGGACGGGGCGTGGCCGAAGGGGAAGGGGGTCGGGGAAGGGAGGAGCTACAAGGAGAAGGAGGCGTGAAAGTAGCCTGGGGCGGTGGGAATAGGAGCAGTAAAGCACTGAATGGAGTGTTGTTGTGCTCTGGTTCTGTTCATCGCCTTCTGGCAGGCACCTGGTTGGCTACACTGAGAACAGGATGTTGGACTGGCTGGGCAAGAGCCACTGGCCTGATGCAGCAGCAAGGCTCCTTTTATGTTTTATTCTGGTGCCCTCCAGATATTTTGGGCTATAATGCACATCTGCCTCAAGTGCAGGGGGCTGCAGCTCAGTGCTGGAGCACATGCTCTGCATGCAGCTTTAATCCCTGCAGCTTTGGCTTGGGATGGAAAATATTCCCACTGCCAGTCAGTGTTGACAGTACTGACTCTGTATGAGGCAGCTGTTGCATCATTCTACCCAGACACTGAGGTCCAGTGCCAAGGACCTTCTGGTGGTTCCCTCACTGTGAGAAGCCAAGTTACAGGGAACCAGGCAGAGGGCCTTCTTGGTAGTGGCACCCACCCCGTGGAACGCCCTCCCACCAGATGTCAAACAGAACAACAACTACCAGACTTTCAGAAGACATCTGAAGGCAGCCCTGTTTAGGGAAGCTTTTAATGTTTGATGGATTTCTGTATTTTAATATTTTGTTGGAAGCCGCCCAGAGTGGTAAATTATTATTAATATTATTATTGGAGAAGAGTTCCACACTTTGAGATCACAGAGATGAAATCAACAAGTAGGTCATAGCTGTATAATGAGAGGAGCTAGGAACTGGATTTCTCGCTTAAGGAATATCAGTAGCGGGGCAGTGGTTACCTAGCTGGACAGTAGAAAATCCTCCTCCCCCAGATTCTTTATGCAAGGCCAACCCCAGAGGATCTGGCTGCCCAGGTGTTGTTACTGTTTCCTTTACTTCTTATATTGTATCTCTATCCAATAAGGTGCAGCAACAAACAGGCCTGTGCTTTCCAATCTGTGCTTCAGTACTTAAAGGACATCAAAGCACGATGGCACAGAAATCTACAACCTGTCAGTTAATGAAGACCTTAACATGAAAGCCTGTGAAAAGAGCAAAAGCAAGCTGCAGACAGGAACTGGGAGGGTGTAAATATGCTGGGATCTGAGATGATCACTAACACGTACCCAGCAAGCAGCAGGCAGTAATGATGATTAATTATTTAAGAAAAGCTGAGTGCGTCAGCTCAGGCGGGGGAGGGGGGAGACGGAAACATCACTCTGGGATCCTTCCGTTAGAGTTACATTAATTAGCATGGTGTGTGAAGCGCAGAGAAATATCCAAAGACATTCTATCCTCATGTGAGGTGGGAGACCTGCAATTAAGGCATCTGTTTACCCTTTGTATCTGACCGAGATGGCTTTTGAAGGAATTACAGGCTTAATGCAATTTTAAAAACACACCATATGTTCTGCTTTGTCCTCATTTGGCTGCTTGATTGTATAAACGTCTCAGGGCAGGGGTGGGGATAATCTGTGGCCCTCAGATGTTATTGGATGCTAACTCCCATCAATCCCAGCCAGTATGGCTGATGGTCAGGGATGATGGGAGTTGTAAATCCAACTAAAGCTGTAGGGCCACAGATTCCCCACCCTTGCTTTAGGACAGGACAAAATCTACTTTCTTGCAATTTCTAGTTCTTCCCTCTGCAGCAAGAGGGGAAAAAAGTTCCACCTCAGTATACTTGAGGACCACTATTATATATGTGCCCAAACCCCCATGAAATATTTTATTAACTATTTATTGATTGCCTTTCTGCAAAGTCTGGTGGTACCCAGCTAATGCAAAGCAGGGACTTGTAGTTGATAGGTGATTGGGAGGGGCAACTCAAGCAAACATTATCTTTGTTGCAGAACTTGCATTGCCTTGTTCCAAGGGCCAGAATTTTAGGAGAGAATAAGGTGATGGATAGTAAGAAAAAATGCAGGTACATTAAGGGTGAATCAAATGGGAAAGCATTTCAGCAGGAAAGGCAGGGGATGGGGGAGATTGAGCACAGGACAAGAAGCTATTTGCAAGCTGCTGTTGCTCCTGACCCAGTTCTTAGTCTGATATGGTCTGATCCCCTAGAGATGTACAGAAAGAACGACAAGTGACATCTTCTTTGTTTAAATGGCTGCCGTACAGAGTTCTCAAACCTGCTTGCTTTCCCATATACATCTTTTAAAAATGATAATTTAATCTTAACCCATAACTGAAATTATATTAGGAAGCTTAATGACTTTTATTTGTAAATGATGTACTATTGGGTGATTGGTGTGTGTGTTTTATTATACAATGTAAGACCCTTTGGGATAAGACCCCCCCCAAACCCCCACTTTTTAAAGGCATTAAATGGTGTTATACAATTCCATAGTTTCCTGCTGATAGTTTGGAGCTTTGCATGACACCTCCAGTTCCCTTTGCTTTATGCATCTTTTTTCCTAGGCGTAGCTGAAAATCAGGTATCATAAGCCCTAGCTCCTCCATTTGCTGCTTTGCACAGCCAGCCTTAACTCTGGACAAAGACGCTCTGCTTCAATCTCTTGCCGTTAGCCATCCATGATAATCTGCTTTGAAATTCATTTAGGATTCTTTCATAATCCAGCTGCCACCACACACCAAGACTTTCCATATGACCACAGGGGTAGATTAGTTCTGATGTTAAGATGGTGCTCCTGGTCAAATTGAAATCTTTGTCATGGCATCATTACTAGGATTTTTCACACCCTTAGGAGAGCGCCCATTCTAACTTTTCGCCAGAAACAATTTTATGGGCAATCAATATAATAAACTACATCCTGCATTTTTGGGCTCCAAAATGACCATTCTTTTTATGAGGACTACCCATATTATGAGCTATTGTTTTTACTTTTAATGAAGTATTCTTGCAGTTGGGAAATTTTGTTCCCACTCCAGAAGAGAAGAGATTAAGAGGCAAAAAGAGTCTATTTTGCATTTCATAATGTTGCATAACTTAGAAAAAGAGCATTGAGTGCAGAAAATCAATGACAAGTGACCTACCTCACAGGACTACTGTGAAAGCAAAGCAAGGCTACAGCGCAGAGGTGGCAAACCCTTGGGCCAATCTTCGCCTGCCAGGGGGTCCAAGTGAGCCTATGCATCCATTTCCCTCAAACCATGCCTTCTAGCTCATCAGCTGATGTCTCTCGCAACATCATGTGACTGCAGGCAGGACAGGGTTAAATCCTGCATTGGCTGTGTACCTGTTCCCATTAGGGAACAGATCAGAATTTAATCTCCCACTTGTCCGCTGATGAGCAAACCCCTTCCTGAATCAGAAAGAGGTACGCTTCATAATTCTCTGCTAGAACAGTTTCCTTCCCTTCATTTTAGTAGGGCTTTGAATGCAAACCATCAAAAGTCCTGTATAAAACAAAGAGGGCCAGCATCATTTTTAGCAGCACTTTGCACCTGATGTCCTTGTGCTGTCAGGTGATTGACAGGTGGGTAGGGCCACCCACCTGATAAATTTGTTCAACATGGCCAATCCTGAGGATTTGGTCTGTGGAGCCAAAAAGGCTAACCACCCCTGCTATGGAGAATGTTGCTCACTAGAAAAGATATATATGTTCTCACGCCAAGTAATTTTCCTTCTGCTTTCCACACCTGAAGAGGGACTTTCAGAGTTACCAATTTGCAGGCAAGTTTTTGAAAAGAGATTACAATTTTACGCCAGCAGCACTAAGGCACCTTGAGCTTTATTTATAATTGCTTCAAGCAACAGTAGCTCAAGTATTGGATGCCTAACAAGAAAATCCAACCCTCTCAAAGAAGGTATTCCAAATTAAATGACATATTTGAAACCATTGGCATTTTAAGGGGAAAGTTGTTGTTATAAGGCACTGGTTGTGCCCTTAAAAAGAAGATGGGTGGGGGAATATAAAATTGACAATAAAGATAAAATGCATTTCTCAGTGATGGTTTATTAAAGTGAAATGAACAATATGCAAAGAGAGACAAGTAAATGCAAATCTCTAAGCTGAGTGAGGGAGAGAGATCAGAAGAAGAAGCCTGTTTAAAGCCGGTGTGACTGCTGGGTTTGGCTCAAGGCACGGATTTGCAATGGCACAGCAGCAAAGCTTCCCTTCTGCAGGCAAGGAACTAACCCTCTAATCATCACTAATGAGACAGCTACAGCATTTCAGGGAAAGAAGGTCTGTAACCACTGTGACTTCACACAAGCTGTTATTTAGCCATCAGTTTTAAAAGGGAAGAAACATTTAAAAGGATGCTATTCCCAACTGCCGAGGCCTAATCACAAGCCACAGAGGGCAGTGAAGACCACAAACAGGGCAGTCCAAAGCAGCCTAACTCTAGGAAATGCTGCACGGAGGCTTTCAGAGTCACAAAGCTCAAATGCATACACACTTCCCGGTAGACCTGCTCTCTCCTCTAACCAGGGTTTCCCCATATTTCTGTGGAACATAAGCCACCACACTTAGGAACAGGATGCTAGATATGGTGGTATGGCTTCTCCCCAAGTTTCCCATGGGGCTCTTGCTCCTTGAACAGACTACATAACAGGCAGAAATTCAGCTGATTGAGCTTTCCATTGTTTTCCATTGTATCTTTACTGCTTACCGGCTGGGTAGCTTTTAAAGGCAAAAGAGCCCTGCCAGGGTGAAAAGGGAACCCTAACATGTTCTCCACTGTAAAACCTCATATGCGACTTGTTTTTTATCTGTCAAATCTATGACTAAAGAAAGTTTTCCAACAACTTCAATTAGGGCTGTCATACATCTGGATTTTCCAGGACATTACTGGGATTTCAAAGGCAGAATTGACATCTGGGGGGAATTTCCGAATGGCAGCGCTTTGTCCTGGATGTTAGGCAAGTC